TCACGCCAATGGTCCTCTTCCTGTCGGCGCCCATCTTGTAGGAACGAGCGCCGCCTGTGCAAAGAAAAACGCAGTCACCATCACCACTTCGCCGCTGGAGGTTCCCAATCTTTCTGCGCGGTTGGTCCTGGACCCAGCGATAACATCTTCGTTGTTTTCGGCGACGTTATGAACATCACCAAAGAAGACGGCAAATCTTCCTGCACGATCCAGCCCTACTGATGCCATGTCGCCCGTTTGCCGCCCACCGCGCAGACGGTTGTCCTGTTTAAATCAATTTCGTCTGCTTCCACCTCGTGCCATGTCTTCTCGTCACCAATCCCGAATTGGATGTTCGACTCGGGCAACTTCACGAAATGAGAGCGAGCAGCGTACACCCGCGATGTGAAGTTTCTCATTTGTTTCTCATTGTGTTACCACAGTAAATGAGACTGCGCTGGTGTAAATTAAGCCCACGCCCCATACCAAGATAAGCGTTGCCTGCGTTACCAACGGCCTGTAATTCCTGCCACTGCCAGTAATGAAGACCAGGTGGTTCGCATGAGGCAGGATATATTTGATACAGTGTGTGGCAATGCAGTTGTAACTGAAAAAACGGCTGTCCACACGCCGCCGCAGTTTCCCAACGCTGCACGAGCCGCAGAACGGGAAGAAATGCTCAGTCCAGCTTTCCAGGAACCCTGCGTTCATCCACTCCTTGACCACTGTGTGCACTGTCAGGCGGTCAATTCTGTCAATGCTCGCAATGCGAGCGCGATGAACTGCGATTGCAGTGCAATGCGATTGCAATGCGATGCGATGCGATGAAATGCGAATGCCATGCACAGCCTCAGAGATCGAATCATGTTCATCTTCCTTCTGATCGTCCGCGCCCTCCACATACTCGGGGGAGGCATTTTTGTTGGACCTTCGGACTCTGTGAAGATATCTCGGCGGTTAAGATCTCGATGCGAAAAACCCCACCGAGAAGGCAGAGGTGAAGGGAGGGAGACAGGGCGACAGAACACGATGAAGGTTCTTAGCATGGGAGGGAAAGAGACGAAATATTCAAGCCCAGCATCGCGTTCGTCCTACTCCTCTTTGAAGGATGTTGGCCCCATATCTTCACGGCAATGCCATCCGAGCATAGTCGAAGCATCCCAGCCACATGCACAAAAAGACAGCGACTTCAGAGAGTCCGAAGGTCTAAAAAAAATGTTCCCCCGGGTATGGTCCTCGAAATTCCAATCCCATGAAGTTTGGCACACGGCTGAACTTTCGAGGGACATGCTCGGGGGCCGTTATTTGCGAAGAGGCTGACAGCGATTTCAGCGAGTCCGACGGTAAAAAATATGTCCCCCCAAGCATGGTCCTCGAAATTCCAACCCCATGAAGTCTGGCACGGGGCTGAAATTTGGGGGGACATGCTCGGGGGGCGTTGTTTGCGCAGAGGCTGGCAAGGAGTGAAAGAGAGAGAGAGAGAGAGAACAAAAAAAGAGACTCCAGAGAGTCCGAAGGTCAACTAAAAAATGCCCCCCCGAGCATGGTCCTCGAAATTCCAATTTACGCCGTTTAGCACAGGACTGAGATTTCGAGGACCATGCTCCAGGGGGCATTTGCTCCTGAGCATCGGGTGATTCTCCTCCTGCCCTCGTGGTCGCCGTCGCGGCTGTCATCGGAGTCGCCGTCGTCGTCGCGGGCGTCGACATCGTCAACTTCGGCGCCCTGGCTCCCGGGGAGAACTTGCGAATTCCCACACGAAAAAACGGAAAACCCAGAAAAGCATTGAAAACAAATACCAAAACATACAAAAAGTGCGGAAACACAGTGCGTTTTTCAAGGATCACATGTTCCGGTCAAAGAAAATCAATATTTTTCCTCTGAGAACATAACGTTTTCTTTGAATCCGCCGGCCCCCTTGTGGGGCCACCAGGCTGCGAGGCGCGTGATTCGCAGTTTCCTGTACCAGTTGTAGTTTGTAGTTTCCAGTGTAACAGTTCTGCTTCTTGCTGGTTACTGTAACTAGTTGACTTCTTGCTGGTTACTGTGACTAGTTGATTGACCGCGCGAGGGGGGGGGAGGCCCGAATAGGATTTTTAGCGTCTCCTGGGCGCGTTGTCTGAATTGCTGGGGGGGCTCGAAATCGACACCCCTCACGCAGATCCGCGGGGTCAGGGTCCAAAAACACATGGGATTTGCCACATTTCTGAAATTCGGTGCCACCCCTCACGCAGATCCGCGGGGTCAGGGTCCAAAAACACAAGGGATTTGCCACATTTCTGAAATTCGGTGCCACCCCTCACGCAGATCCGCGGGGTCAGGGTCCAAAAACACAGGGGATTTGCCACATTTCTGAAATTCGGTGCCACCCCTCACGCAGATCCGCGGGGTCAGGGTCCAAAAACACAGGGATTTGCTACATTTCTGAAATTCGGTGCCACCCCTCACGCACATCCGCGGGGTCAGGGTACAAAAACACACGGGATTTGCCACATTTCTGAAATTCGGTGCCACCCCTCACGCAGATCCGCGGGGTCAGGGTCCAAAAACACAAGGGATTTGCCACATTTCTGAAATTCGGTGCCACCCCTCACGCAGATCCGCGGGGTCAGGGTCCAAAAACACATGGGATTTGCCACATTTCTGAAATTCGGTGCCACCCCTCACGCAGATCCGCGGGGTCAGGGTCCAAAAACACAAGGGATTTGCCACATTTCTGAAATTCGGTGCCACCCCTCACGCACAGCCGCGGGGTCAGGGTCCAAAAACAGAGGATTTGCTACATTTCTGAAATTCGGTGCCACCCCTCACGCAGATCCGCGGCGTCAGGGTCCAAAAACACAGGGGATTTGCCACCTTTCTGACAGTCGGCGCCACCCCTTACGCAGATCCGCGGGGTCAGGGTCCAAAAACAGAAGGGATTTGGCACATTTCTGAAATTCGGTGCCACCCTTCACGCACATCCATCGCAAGGCGTGGTAACCCAAACTGCGAGAACTCCCTCGGCCCTTCAATCGCAAGGTGTGGCAACCAAGCCTGTACACCATACACGTCTTACCAATCGCCAGGTGTGGTAACCCCTCTTGTGATCAGTTGGTTTTGCTGATTGCGAATCGGCTTCGCATGAAGTTTCGATACTGCTTCACAACAGCGCCAAAACCTCATGACTTAGCTTTTCCATGGCCCATTCTCCGAGAGAGGGGGCCGGCGGCAGGGGGCGAAGCCCTTACGGATTATACTGGAACCTCTAAGAACAGCAGTACCGCATGAGTGCGACCCCTGTGGAGGCACAGGGATCACCTGCCCCCATTACTGCGTGTCTTGAAAAAAACTCATGATATTTTAAGAAAAGCTTATGTCTTGACCTTGAAAGCATTGATTTGCTTGTCCCAAACAAGCAATCCCTGTGAAAACAATAAGTGTCCGAATTGTTGATTCTGGTCTGGTGTTTGTGTTTGTTTCGGGCATCTGGAAATTCACAACTCCCCAGACACTGGCTTCATCGGGCCTATGGGCATCCAAGAATCCCAGAGGTCAACAAGAAAAACGCCCCTCCCACAAAAAAAGCTTGGATACCCGATTCGACTCATCAAAATCACCTGTTTTGAACACAGAAAACCAATGGCTTGGCCATAAAACATACAGGGTTCTTCGAATTTCATTTGAGCTGTCCTACAAAACGGTAGCGCATGAATGTATTCCCTGTGCACCTGCCCCCCCTACCGCTTTTCTCGAAAGTAGAATGGGAACTCAAAGAAAACCCTGTGCTTTCATCCGGAAAGCATTGACTTTCTTCGTCCAAAACAAATGATACCTGCGAAAACACATGGTTTCCACACTTTGGTTTCCAATTTCTACTGGTTGTTCTGTTTTTTTCTTCGAACCGTTAGAAATTCACAAATTCCCACACAGTAGCTTCACCGGGCCGATCGGCATCCAAAAGTCCCTGAGGCCAGAAAGACCAGAAAGAGCACAAAAACAAAAAACATAGAAGAAACTACGAAAAGCATGTGTGTTCACAGGGGTCACTTGTTTGGCACAAAGGAATCAATGGTTTGAGTGTAAAAACAGATGGCTCGCTTTGAATGTCACTGGGGTGTTTAATACAAGCGGTAACGCATGAGTGTGATCCCTGCACAGGCACACAAACCACCTGCCCCCACTGCCGATTCTTTTGAACAGATCAATACAATTCAGAGCAAGCCCAGTGTTTGTACAGGGAAACATCGGTTTCTTTGCCCAAGACAAGCGTTCCCTGTGACAGCTCAAGGTTTCCGCACTTGTTTCTCTGGTGTTTCTGGTGCTTCTTTTCTTATTATTTTTTGGGCTCCGTGGCATTCGGAAGTGGGCGCAAACTGATTTAACAGCTTTAACGCCGGATTGGGCGGAAACTGCTTTAACAGTTTTAACGCCGGCTGCGCCGAAACAGAGGAACGAAACGGAGCTTCGGGCACTTATAACGATACAAACTCATTGAGAAAATGCATCCGCGCCGCGCCGGGGGCAAGCGAGGAGGAGGAGGAGGAGTGAGAATTCAACGCTACGCACGTGCAGCACTGCCACCACGGGAGGTCCAACACCCGCTGGGAACGCAGCAACTCCTCCGAGCCGCACGACATTACTCGTGCATCAGACACTCGCGGCAGGAACCCCCTTGTGTTCCAAAGGCTCAGGCAAAATGCACCGCGCCTCATCTGTCGGGACGGGACAGCCAGAAGAGCAAGCCGTACTCACAGCATAAAGAGAGCGTGCCAACACTATCCCCTAGATAGTACAGCTGAGGAAAACAAAAAGAGACCATGTGCATGCAGGTCGACTCGAGCTGACAAAGCAGCGGCAATCAAGATTATGAAAAGAGCGGCGAGCCCGTGGTGCCCGAACTCCAGTGGACCCGGGCGCGCGACCCCCCCCTCTGGAAGGCGGCAGCGCCCAATCAGCTGAGAGTCCTCCACCACGGCGCCGGCGACAAAACTGGGCGGCGGCCCCCCTCAGAGCCTCAGAGGAGCCACCGGGGCGCCTCCTCAGACCAGGCCACGCGCCCCCATGGCCTGCCGCGCCATCGCGTAGGCGACGCCGAGGCGCGTCGTGTCCCGGCATCGCCGCTCGGCCCCGAGGGCCTGGCAGCGCTGCGCCTCCGCCTCCAGGCGGGATGCGATGGCTGGCACGCTCTCCCCCTCGGCCTGCCACTGCCGCACCTCCGCGAGGACCAGTATGTAGGCCATGTTCCTGGCGGGCTGGCTGGGATCCAAGCTCTTCTGGGTCTCCGAGGTCTTCGTGGTCTCCGAGGCGATTGCGGGCGCGGCAGCAGCAACGGACTCGGTCGACTCCCGCGCGGGTGGCGGCAGCCTCCCGGGCGGCCCCGCTGCTGGGGTCGCGGCGGCGGCCACGGCGGCGGCTCCAGCGCCGAGAGCTGCACCGGGAGCTGCTGCTCCCATTTCCTTTGGAGCAGCCGGGGGGGCGCAGGCCCCGCCTCCCTTGAGGTCTGAAGGAAATTCTGGAGGACATTCGGTGGCCGCGGGTGGCTCCGCTGCCGGCAGGCTCCGCAGCGGCGGGCGGCTCCGCTGGCGGCAGGCTCCGCTGCCGGCCGGCTCCGCAGTCGGCAGGCTCTGCGGCGGCGGGCGGCTCCGCTGCCGGCAGGCGCCGCGCTCGTCGGCGGCGGGTTCAAGGGAGGAGGCTTCCGGAGCGAAGCCCTCGCCCACGCCCTCGATGTCGATGAGGCCCCGCCTGTAGGGCAACAT